ATACCTTCTACCACTTCTTTTCGCAAATGCAAAAAAAAAAATCACTGACATAAAGTGGCTGCCGAGCTAACGCTATTTGCGTTAAAACTTATAAATTGATGAGCACTTAGAGCATTTGCTCCAAACGTTGTTCTAGCAGTAAGTAAGCAAGATGATGTACCATCCCAACTTTTTATTTTCTGCGATGATTTCAGGAACTTTGGCCGACACCTTTAAAAGGTGGCTGCAGCAGCAAACAGTATCGTATAAATTGTTATCGTATAAACCGGGCCCTTCACCTTTCTGAAACAAAATTTTCTTTAGTGAAGGTGATTTTGCAAACTCATAGATACTCAAAGACGCATGAAAAGCTGAACTTTACCATTACGATTTCCTCAAATTGTCTCCACAGTGCTGGAAGTATCTTAAATCACAAGCAGTGAAACCTGTAACTGTGACTGGACACAAGAAAGGCATTTACGGGAAAAATTTAGAGAAATCTTGTTTTTTCCTTCTTGAGGATCGTCACAAATGCCGGTAGAGTTTAATCACTCTCAGTTGAGCACCATTGCTGTATAATGATTTGCGAACTAAGCTAAAGACTCTAATTATCAAGATGTTTAAACTTTTGGTCGATATAAAATTAAACATCTCCCATATGAGGAGGACAGGTGGAATAAGCGGCTTCTACACCGTGCGACTACAATACGACTACGCTACCCGATAGCAAAACATGTTACGTTAAAAGAAGAACGAGAATGGTCAGACTCTCATCCTACAGCATTAGCATTAGTGAACCGAACAGGGGTAGAATCGCGTCAATTCAACTCAACTGTACATATGCAGCTTCTTTCCTGATTACAAGTTGTTCCTTTGCAATTTTTACGAGTGAAAGATACTATTATGTAGAATATATACTTAAGATCGAAATTAAACATCGAAGTGTGACCCCTCTGAGCTGATATTACAGCGATTGCGTTGACCTTTGCTAGTCTCACGTATAAGACATTTCAAAACTTAGAATATGCAAATTTTAAGAGATATTCAATTTTGCCAGTAGCTGTATAGTACAATCTCAAAATAGTCAAGATAATATCCAATTTTTCTAAAAAAATCTTATTCAGTTGCCATATAAATATATTTTAGACGATTATGCGCTTAAATACTTTGTTAGGTTGTTGTCTACGGTCTCTTGGAGTATTGAATCAAGTAAGAATTTTGAAAATTCTGCAATTTCTTTTTTCAATACAACATCCATTCTCCAATTAACTAACGAGATTTGGTTACTTTTTCAAAACTACGTGACATTTCTTAGCATTCGAAAGCGGAATTAGCGATATAACAAGTTTTGATGCCGCCGGGAAAAAATTACTACTTAGAGCTGTTCCAGCCTGGAGCGATAGTAATTCCCCTGCGTTGGCATCAAATTTGCCAGCAAGTTGGCAACTCTACATGGCAACCTTAAGATAACTCCAGCATAATGAGCTATGCAAAGTTACGGTGAGGTTTACGCTAATGAAGACCCAAAGCAAACGGTAAATTGGTTTGGACATCAAAAATTTGGTACAGATCACGCACTTGCTCTTTTATTTTTATTAAATGTATCAATATTGGCAGTTGTTGCTTGTTTATCACCCTCATACTTGTAGTAGGTTGTCGCAAAAAATTCCCAGCACTTTTCTTTTTTATTCCCTTTTCTTTTTCTCTTCAAAAATATATAAATAACCGAGCAATTCTACTAAATTTCTATGACTTTCTATCTATGCCGAATTTATATTGCAAGAGCAAATGCAGCTCAGAATCGGAATTTTTCCCAGCAAAAGTAACGAAGTGATGATACAAATCAACAGAAGTGACTGAAGAGCCTCTATATAGATTCACATAGAAAGTTTCAGAAAAGAAAAAATCTGTCATGAAGCCAAAATGAGTGGCTATAACATAAGTGTATAACATATAATCTTCAAATGAATTAGTAACAAAACTGTCCTTTTTAGTGCTCTAAAGAAACCTCTAAATGTTTTACTTAGAGACATCTAAATATTTCACTTAGATTGCACATATATTGTTATGATTATTATTATCTAGTCAGATATAATATCACAGATTTCAAGCCATTTGAAACCTCCCCGGTCGAAAGGTCATAAAAGGTGCAAAACCTGAATGATAGGAATATGCACAACAGCATGAAAAGAATTTTACGTTTGTTGCAAACATTGTAAAAACTATTGAATGGAGTAAATGACGAAGAGAAAAAGAAGAAATGAAAGGAAAAGGTTTAGGAGCAACCATAAAACAATGATTATGAAATCATGATGTAAATTGTACACTACGTAGAGGCACGACCTATTTCTTGTTTTGTACATGATAGGCACGTTAGAGATGCCACGTCATGATCTCGCGAAATCGCATGATATTTTTATTCCTCTAACAGCCGGCAGGTTGCAGGCATTGGTGGCATCTCGCGCCTCAGGCCGTCCATGGGTGTCGCGACTTGACGGCTTGATCAAAAAAGGTGCAAGGTGTTTTGGAGAGCTCGATTGTACTCTACGCATGCATCTCAACTTCAAGTGAAAACCCTGTCACTTGTTTGACTTTCATTTTTTCATCCAAATCTACTTAATTATATAACTTGAACTGAAGATAATTCTCTTTTTTTCATCTTTTGATAAGTTGGGACGATGAAACATAGGCCAGCCCAAACAGTTCTTGTTCTCTCTACTTAATCCTGGGCAAAAGTTCGGGTATCCTTCGAAATGCTTTCGCTTGCCA